CAATAATTACTTTTGGTCCCTTAAATCCTAAGGGGTCTTATAATTTAGTCCATCAATGATGAAAATAACACTGTTGTGATTTCTCTCTTAAAACTCATCCTGCTTAAAAAAAAGGATCATTTACACTTAGGTAATCTAAAGCTTATAGCTTTTAACTTTGAAGCCAAAGTTTTTGGCATTTTGATATCCTAGAGTTCACATTTTAACTTTGATACCTCAAAGTTTTATTTGACCACTCTTGTTAAGATAAAAATTTCTATTTTTTTACTTTGATACCCTAAAGTTTTATTTTTGACACGTCGATACCTTAACTTTATCTTAAAATATAGGGTATTAAAGTTAAAAAATGCAAACTTTGAGGTATCAAAGTAAAAATATTGAAATGTTTGAGGTATGAAAGTTAAAAAATGTATAAACTTTAGGGTACCAAAGTGTCAAAAAAGGTTTGTGGTATCAAAGTTAAATGTGTAAATTTTGGGTGTCAAAATGTCAAAAAACTTATGGATATTAAAGTTTAAAAAAGTGTAAACTTTAGAAATAACCCTTTAAAAATATTAGATGAGGGTATTTTGGCATTGATGGACTACACTGCAATAAGACTAGAATTTGATGGACTAATGAGTAATTATTTAGGTTTGAGGAACTAATATGAAATTATTGATGATATGAGGGACCGATATCTAAATAACCATATGTAAAAATACCCTCTAAAAATGAATAACCCTTTAAAAAATAGATGAGGTCATCATTGAGGGACCAAATTGCAATAACCTTAGGATCCAAAGGACTAATGAAAATTATTGAAGATGAGAGGGGCTAATACTAAATATTTATGCTATTAAAAAATTTTGGTTATCAAAGTGACAAAAAAGGTTTTAGGTATCAAAGTTATAAAACGTGTAAATTTTGGTGTATCAAAGTGTCAAAAAAGTTTTTGTGGATATCAAAGTTTTAAAAAGTGTAAACTTTAGATTGCTAAATTGCAAACAACCCTTTAAGAAACTTTAGATGAGAATATTAACTAGGATTAAAACCTGCAACCTATAGGCTAAATCTATAAGCTTTAACCAACTAAGGGGCTGTTTGGTTGATGTATTTGGCATTGGGGGTTGGGCAGAAAGTCTGCCAAAAGAGCACTTTTGGCAGGCTTTCTGCCCAAAACGCCTCTTTTTAGAGGCGTTTTGGACAGAAAGCCTGCCAAAAGTGCTCTTTTGATAGGCTTTCTGCCCAACCCCCAATGCCAAATACATCAACCAAACAGCCCCTAAGCTATTTTACTTTTTGAGGATTTTTGGCAAGTAATTTATTAGTTAGAAATTTTATTCTAGCAATGAAAAGATATTCTATAGTTATAGACCGGATAACTTTAATATATGCAAGTAAAATTTACCCACGCGTTGACATGTCATTTGTGTGAAAAGTAAGAAAATAATAGTTAAACATTTTGCTTAGAAAAATCATGAAATTTAACTACATATGGTGCACGTGGATTCCATATAGAGTAATAAATAGTGTTGTTGCGTTCACGTGACCGCAAAAGCAATCGATAGACTTTCCCTGTTTTCAGCAATTAATGAGAGAAAATTTAAGAAGAACGGAGACATGTCACGTGGTCATATGCTAGTACGCTTTGCTGTATCCCTATATTTTGCCAGAAGTGTCTTAAAAGTCTTTAATTAAAGGGATCAATTAGCTAATTTTATTCATGTACCCTAAGATATGATGTAGTTAGGTAAGTGAATCTAGAGCGCGTATCTACATGAGCAATGTAAAATAACACACTATATCTACGCAGATAACACTGAGAGGGGGAAAAATAGACTTTTATCTGACCCATATAATTACAATCAGTAATCTCAGGATGACCTGTGAAATTAAAATTGGTGATCTTAAGTGATTCATATAATTGTAATTGTTAATAATCTCAAAATGATTAGACTCTAGGGTCACTTGTCTTTTGGATACCTGAATGCGATTAATCCCTTAATTAAAACTCTAGCTATTGTTCAACGTCTAGTTAATGTAGGGTTTAAGGACAGTTAAACTCGTCTTTTCCTCGCAAACATGCAAATAAAAAAAAAAGGATTTGTTAACAAAATAAAATGCAACAGGGGTAGGCAAAAAAACTTTTCAGAAGGGTTTAAGAGAGTTAACCTCTCCATGATGTTATGTTGATGAGGTTTAAATTAATTTATTTTAAATGTAATAAAATAAAAGAAAAATGCATCAAGAACCCAATCACTACCAAAGATAAAACTGTTAGAAAATAAATTCCACCTAGAAATTAAACTATGAAGAGGATTAGCAAGTAGAAGAAGGAACATGTTCACACTTGAAGCCTTTCTATAAGAAAAAAATTAAGAAAATAGAAAATAACATCTTTGAAGATAGAATATAATGTTGTTTATGGGGAATATGAGATGCAGGATAAGATAAATGCTTTGTTGGTAATTGGAGCAAAGAGTTAAAAGGCTTCTTAGAGAGATGACTAATAAAAGATTTATTTAGAAGGAAGGTGTGAGAAAAATAGGAATTAGTAATTAAGGGAAACTAAATAGAGTTTTTAAGTAGAGAAATTAAATAGGTAAAAGATTTAGGATTTGACAAGTGGATAAGTGGAAAAAATAGCAACTTGAGGTTGTTTTTTTATTAGTATAGTGTGTGTATACACTGAAATGAGTTATGCTACAAGGACCCAAAATATGAGACCAATAGGGGAGACAAGTGAGGTGTTCACCTCCTATTGGATAATGAGTTGGCCATGAGTTGACTATCATTAATGATGACTAACTCATTATCCAATAGTAGGGGGACACCTCACTTATTCCCTCTATTGGTCCCATATTTTGGGTCCTTGAGGAATTTTTCTTTCTTTAATCCCTTTTTTTAAAAGTAAAATTTAAGCTTTCCACAATCTATAAAAATATCAATGAATTACAAGTTGTAATTAAATGGTGCCGCAGTTTGAGCCGACTTTCATGTGTAAGCGCTCTCGCAAAATTATGGTCGTTCAAGCATTTAAAGAAGCGTATAAATAATTAAAACTTTTGAAACTCCAGTCATCTAAATTAGTCAATGAAACAATATATAAATTTGATCTTCCAAGTGTTGGGCAGCTTGTCTCAAGTGCCAGGAGTTCACAACACAAGTTGACACTACTTCAACTAGACCTGGATGAGCGTGTACGAAACGATCCCATATACTTGGACCTCTCCCTCCTTCATTTGCTGCTCCTTCAACCTATCATTAATTCAAAACCACGAAGAATACATTATTCAGAAAATTTAACAAACACAGATAATATAAATGTGCCTGAGAAACGAGCGTATAAATAAATAAAAAGAACCTGATAAGCTGCACTTGCAGCTCCAAACATAAAATCAGCCGGAAAATCTTTCCGGCTGAGCGTTGTAACGGGCGCCGGTTTAACGGCAGTTCCGACGTCGGCCAACATCGAAATGGCAGCAGCGAAGAGGAGGAAGTAGAGAGAATGGCCATCTCTGTTGGATGCCATTGCGAACAATTGTGTAGGGAGATGGAGATTATGGTGAGTGATCCTACTCTATTTATAGCGGTAAAAAGAGTAGATGGATATTAAAGAGGAGGGTCCTGCTCATTGATGTGCGTAATTTTTTTGCCACCGGTCTGCATCAACATTAACCTATTATATTCTCGAATCATGTAAATGGGATATCGTGGAAGGCAATGGTTCACGCTTTCAGGTAACCCCACCGCTTGCTACCTTCAACCACCCCCAATTAGTGAAGAATAGAGTAGAATATTTAATTGTGAACTTCATTAATTCGAAATGGCATTCACAACTAGCAACTAGCAACTAGCAGAGAGTGAATGACTCCTACGCACTAGTAAAAAGAGGTTCAACCCCAACGGTTGTGTCCAACCGTTGGGGCTGGTCGCACAAGCCCTAACGGTGTTTAACCGTTGGGGCAAGTTCTTTCGGCCAAAAAACAGAACAGGGGGAAATTTCTCCCCTTTATTTTGACGAAATTTGAAAAAACAAAACAAAAACCCCCCACACCTGTCCCGTTCTCTGTCTCTCTCACACATCAAAAAACTCAAACCCTCGTTCTCCTCTTCTTCATCCTCACGATCTCAAATCTACTCCCATCTCTCTCGCCTACAGGCCTGAAGACATCATCCCCAAGAGCAAAGCCGGCCAATACCACAGAGTAACGTCTCAAAACCCTAATCCTCTCCTTTTCGTCGGTTCTTCTCTTCTACACTTTAATTTTTTTTATCGACAATGTGTGATTTCAGTTGAGAACCGTTTGGCACGATGTGATCGGCCGCCACTGCCCGATCTTTGCGGTTAATCGTGAGGTACGATTGATCAGATTTTGTAATCGGGGTTTTTTTTTCGTTTATAGGGTAATTGATCAGATTTTCGAGGTTTTTTTCGATTGTTGCTGATTATTTGAGTCTAGATTGATTAGCTTATTTGTGCTTAATGTCTGTGAAGATGTCTTAAATGAAGAGAAATGGGAAGATAAAAAAGTTGAGGTGTTTTGAGGGAATTTTCAACTGTTCACTGAGATTGAGATTCAAGGCTTTGACGCACCAAAGCCCTGCATATCTTTATTATCCTTGGTGATACCTTTAGCAATTGACTGTTCAAAAACATTGAAAATATTGACTGCTGCTGCCATTTTGTATTATCTTGCTTTGCTATTACTATTATCAGTTGCCAGTATCCTGAGAAGTTTGTTATCTGAGATTACAATTACACGAAGAAAATTTCATTTCCAAGGGATTTTGGTGTGGTTCTAAAACATGAAGGCAAAAGGGTTTATTAACAAGTTGGTGATTTCCAATTTTTTACGACGAAGTTGTAGTAAATAAATGTATAAAGCCTCGGCTATAAATTTGTTTGTAGCTTTTTTGGCTAAGCTGCATGCAATATATTGTGTGGTCCTATTGATATTGTAACTTTTGAAGATTTATTGAGAGTGCCCTTTGCTATCTCTATTCGCTCCATATATACATGAGTAGAGTAGCGGCCATCCATTTACATCATACTACAAGCAAGTCTGACAAATTTCTCCGTGTTAATCATATAACGGTGGGAGGAATGAGCCAAAGATGAAGTTTCCTTAAATAGGAGGTAATGTTTTCTGCTTGAATTAAATTTGAGTCAATATAAATATTAGCATGTATGTACCTTCTGGTAATAAAAAACTTGTGCAAATCAAGTTCATGTTTAATTTATATCGAACGTGAACTAATGTCAATTTACCGAACTATGATAAAACGATAATGATTAATTGTGTTGATATTTGAGTTTATACAAATATTACATGTATGTGCCTTCTGCTCATAAAAACATGTCTAGATCCCTATATTCTCATCACTAAGAATTTCAAAGCAAGCACTGCAATAACCCAATCCGTGACAAGTCTGCAACAATAAAAAGTTACGTCATAAAGAATACTTAATTAGCCGATAAATTTTATGACCTTGTAAAGTTTTATAAAAATTAGGTGCTACTCTGTTTGCAACAATGTCATGCTATCCTGAGTATAATATATTGTAAGTTTATGTAGTTTTTTTTTATATTTGACATTTTGAAATCAGATACTTACATATCTGCTCACTTTTTCTTCACTTCTTTTACCAGTTCAATAATATATCTTACGCTTATAATTTACAGCTTTGAATTGTGAAAAAGCTCTAAGGAGCTTTCTGCTACTGTACATTTTGTTCCACAAGTAACTAGTAGACAACATATGAAGTATACATTTGTGTTTGCACCTTAATTTCTGTTCTATACTATATCTGGAAAGGCACTTTCATTTGGAATGTTTGTGTAACAAGATCTTTTAGAAAACTCCCCCCTGTTTAATTTTTTTCTCCTTCTCTTGCAGTTTCTTTCTATAGGGTCTGACATATGTTGGGGCTTCTGCAAGACTTCTATATTGTTGGTATTAGTAATTTTCTTTCAATTAACTTCTATACGATTTGTTTGTTTCCTGGTTTTCGTAGTATATATCTTTTCTCATTGCTACAGACTTTATAATAATTTCTGAAATAAGTGTGTTTACAATTTTTCTTTTTCCAAGGATAATTTGTAATTTCGACACCAATTGAGATTGAACTAGAACGAAATAAAAATAGGAGAAACCATTATGCAGCTTTGTCGGAAGAGAGAAAAAAATGAAATAAGAAGAAAACAAAGAGAAGCTTATTATAACAAAAACAAAAACATAAGAAAAAAGATCAAGAAAAAGAAAGCATAATGTTTAATGAGCACACAGAATGCCACCAGATAAATAGAGTAAGAAAATGAAAATATGACAAAGACAACACTCATATATTAGATACTATCTTCTTGCACCTATTTGTAAAACTGTTGCACAGGATTTATATTTACATATAGGGTTTATTTTTATATGCGGCTCACTGTTCTAAGATAAAACTATATGTATTTGAACTATTCGAAATATATTCATTCACATGAAGAGAATAACTTCCATTTGAACTTCTAAGATAAAACTATATGTATTTGAACTATAAATTTTGTTGAAGTAATTTATAGGTTGAGTGATCAGCCTCATTTACATGCAGTATGTGCCGTTGTGTGATTAGTTAAATTTTGTTCAAGAATACGATCAGTTGGTGTCTCAATGTGCACCAGATGACATCCTAAAAATGAGAAGCTTATTTGACCGGGCTCTTACTGTTGCTGGAGTGCATGTGGTTGAAGTCGGCAAGATATGGGAAGCATACAGAGAGTATGAACAAGCGATCTTTTTGACAATTGGTGATGACAATAATGAGGTTAGTTTCATATGTGAATATATGTCAGTATACTTTGTAGTTTAAACAGAACAAAATTGTTGATCACTATACTGTTTTATCTTTTAGGAAAAATCAAAACAAATTGATCGGATACGTACTTTATTCCATCAACAACTATCTATTCCCTTAGTGAATTTAGAATCAAATTAGTTAATTACAGGCTTTGGGAGGTGGAACAAGGGAACACTGGCGATATGAACTCAGGAATTGGATGGGGTCCCTGCTAATGTTGTCTTTGCATATAAAAATGCTTTGGAAATGTATAATGCTCGAAGCATGTATGAGGATCAACGGTCTAAGAGTATAGCTCACATGGCTTAATTTTGTATTCTCACATACATGTATATTGTAATCTTTTGTAAAAGTGAGGGACGCCTCACTTCAGAAAAGGCTCGCTCTCAATATGAGAGGTGTAACCATGTAACTCTTTGCTTTTAAATGAAATCTTAGCTTGGTTGGAAAAAAAAAAGAATCTCGTCGCAAATCATTTAAATTTGGATGTATTCTTCGTACTTCTGTTGGTCGAACTCGTATTCGACCACCTCTTCAACCGGGATCTTAATCATCGGTTGTGATACGACGGCCTCGGCAGCGAGACCGTTAGCTCCCACTGTGGTCGCCAGCGTGTTTGGGTCAGAAATTGCTGTTTTCATTATTATCGAATCTATTATAACTTTAACCGTTGCAATAAACTCAAATAAATAAAAAGTCGATCTTTTTATAAGATATTCTTACACAATAAAAATATAAGATTACAATTCTTTCAAACAACACACAATAGGTGTTTATTACCTATTGCTTTGCATGGGATCTTCGCCTATGTCGGGGATTTTAATATCCATGGACCGCCTTAGATCTGGATCCGGTTAATGGAAAATTGGGCAGAGCTTCGCCTTCACCGAGGGAGTATTTGATTGAAGCGTTGAAATCGACCAAGCGAAATCAGTAGCTTTTTTTGAGATTAAGACAAAGCCTAATCTCAAGGAACGGACGTACGAACTTCAGATCCTTCGAATAGCTCCTTCTTTATGCTGGAGTTCGCCGGAATCTCGCTAACCCTCGCTGAAATTCGTGACTCTTGGCTCTGGAATTCGACAGCATCTCCTCGTTTTGATAATAAATCGCCTCTGTGAAATGAGCCCCTTAGCTTGTACTCATAGGCTTCGGTTGGGGGTTTTTGGATAAGAATGAGTGATTTGGCCTTATCTTCAGTCAATAACGGATTAACCATGTTTAGAGATAGGATTTAGGTAGTTAGGAACCTCTGGAACTGAGAAGATCTCGTGAAAACCCGTCGAAACCGCCATAACGTGTTTTCGGGTCAAAACTACACGAAACACACCGCTGACCCGCGGGGGGCGCGGGTCGGTTCGGTCCGACCTACGCGGACGCAGGGTTTTGACATTTTCGCTGAGTCCTTTGGTGTTTTCCGATTTTTTCGGGACTTGTATTCTTCACTGTTTTACATAATTGATCGTCTTGTTGAATTGTACGTTTCGTTGTAGGACTGACCGTCGAACGCGCGTTGGTTGACGTGCACATGTTGATCGATGCGCATGAACTAATTGATGTGTGCGTGTTGATCGACGCATGTTGGTTGACGTGCGCATGTTGATCGATGCGCATGAACTGATTGATGCGCGCGTTTTGATCGACGTGCGCGAGCTGATTGACGTGCGCGTGTTATCCTACGCGCACGAGCTGATTGACGAGCGCGTGTTAACGAACGCGCACGAACTGATTGAGACACGCGTGTTGACCGACTCGTGCGAGCTGATTTGACGAGCGTGCAGACCACTCGGTTCGCCACTTCGTTTCCTACTCGCGTTGGCGTCAGATAATCCTCTTAGACTCAGATATCAACGTTCGTCGTCTTTTCTCTGTTTCGAGCCGTATTCGGGGACATATAGGTAATTTTTGACACCTACAATTCATTCCTTAGTTGAAGAAGAACATCATTTTACTTAAAGTTTTGGAGGCAGCAGGCTATAGGGTGACCTTGGTCGATTCACGTTTGAAGGTCACATTGGGGTCCATGATTGTGATAAAGAGCATCAGGAGGAATAATTTGTATTATTTGATTGGAGCACGGTGTTTGATAGAGAGCTGACGACTTCTTTGGATTTAGCTAGACTGTGGCATTTATTGAGGCTGAGTTATTTAATTGATTATGCCGTGCATGGTTTTTTGAGGAGTGCTTTGACCTGCAGATTGAAATCCTTTGAGCATATTTGTATGAGCAAGAAGACCGATGTGGAGTTTGGCACTTCTATCCATCGATCAAGGCGTCTTTTAGGTGGTGTTCAGTCAGGTATTTGGGGGCCTTCCAAGAAGGTATCATTAGGAGGTAATCGGTATTTGGTTTCCACAGTTGGGGATTATTCTAGGCATTGGTGGGTTACAACCAGGTCCCGTTGGTATGAAGTCCTAGAAGTTAATAACAATTGGAAGAAGTGTATTGGTGTGACGCCCCTGGGTTCACACAAGGCTGCAGTCCGAGGTGAAATCAGGAATGTTAAACCTGCCATGCACCACACCGTGTAATAACATGTTTCACCATCACAATTACTATCTCTCTAGAGGAATCAACAATAGGTGTAGGTACAAAGCAAGTAAAAGGTTTTACAATAAATACTTGATGAAATGATAGAACATCAAATTAACACATCTCCTCAACCAAATAAACTGGAATACATAGTCAAAGACTGAAATGAATAATAACAATCTGGAGATCTCAACATGTCTCAAAGTACATAATATCTGATGTAGGAAATAAAGCTCACAGACTTTACAACTCTAGAACATAAACTTCTTAAGTCTAAAAATGTCTCAAGTGGAGTACAAAATAAAATACATCTAATAAGAGGATAAATAGGCACTAGTAAGGGTCGCCCTCATCCTGTGACTCTCCGGGCTCCTGGCTCGTTACCTGAAAGGGGGAGGGACAACGAGCGTCAAAGCGCTAGCGAGCAACATCACAACCAACCCCAAGGGATAGAGCTTGTTGTATATGAAAATACAGTTAATACATAATAATATAAAATTATTTGTCCTAACAACAATGGGTTTTGGTATTTAGGAAATTACAACACGGTACGTCGAACAAAATAATCCAAACAAGGAAACCCTCATGTATATACCTTATATCTCAAATTGTAAATCCCTAAATACTAAACCTGAGGTCTAATACGAGAAACAATAAATAAAACAAATACAAACCTGTCTCTACCGATAAATGAAATCATGACAAGGCCACCACAAGTGTCATGCAAACTCACATGAGTGTCATGTCCGAAAATGATTAAGTGTCCAAAACATAGACTATATAAATTAAACGTCCAACCCATAGACTGCATGAAGTAAACGTCCAACTCATGGACTGAATATAACCGTTGTCCAACACATGGACCGGATGTGACCGTTGTCCAACGCATGGACCGGATGTGACCATTGTCCAACGCATGGACCGGATGTGACCGTTGTCCAATGCATGGACCGGATGATAATGCATATCCAACACGAGGATTTAATAGCAATGCATGTCCAACACGAGGACTAAGTAAAGTGAATGTCCAACACAAGGACTAAAAGGTTATGCTTGTCCAACACGAGGACTGAGAAATGGTGAAAATATCATTGAGATACATAGTGAAATCTACCTATATCAATTCACAGTAAAAACAGTGGGAGGTCACTCCGGTCGACCGCGAAAAGAGCAGAAACAATTCTGCTCAGCAAAACACCCAGCGGTCGACCGCCTCGTCCTCTGCGGTCGACCGCGAAGCAGACAGAAGCCCAGTTAGGGTTTCTGTCAGCTTTGAACCACATACAAACTTGATGGTTTCTACACTATTATAAATCTAACATTTCTAATATGTCATATAATAGAAAACAACGAACTGAAATAATTAAAATCTCATCACCAAAGTCCCAAACACATGAACATGTATGATTTGAAAGTTTTAAATCAATAAAACAGAATTTACTCTTATTAAATTATTTCAGATCTAAATCTCAGGAAAACAAATTTGTGGGTGAGCTTTTAAAATCTGAAATACTTGATTTATGCATCATATACCATAATGATCTAGCATTTATACAAAAATACGATTTTAGGCCCAATAACACCGAATAAAAACTCAAATTTAAGCATGAGAACAAAATGGGTGAAGTTGGGCGAGATGTTACTCGCCTCTGATGGGAACAAGGGTTCTGAATCTGTAGGAGAACAATCCCCTTCGCTGAACACCGATGGATCTCATAAAACCCCACCGAAAATCCTTCAAAACGACCCAAAAATACCAAAATCCGAGCTAGGGTTTTGAGAAGAGAGAGAGAAGGGGGCTGAGGCTATTAGGGTTCAATAGAGGGTTCTGAGAGCTTCAAAACGAGTATATATAAGTAGGGTAACAACCGGATTTGGTATAAACAAAACCAACCCGAAACAGACTGAAACTGGCATCTGTACGCTGAACGGTCGACCGCAGTGACCACGACGGTCGACTGCCCAGAGTTCTGGGCCATGCTCAGACTGGGATTTGGTAAAAAGGTTGTAACTTTTTTATACGATCTCGGAATGAGTTGATTTAAGATTCGTTGGAAATCTATTAAAGAGACCTACAACTTTGGTCTTATATACTTTTTTAGATTCTAACTGAATCAGTATGCAAAACATAGAAATTCTTAACTGGTCAAAATTCTCAGATTATTACTATTTGCCTTTGTGCATGTTTTGTGTATTTACACTCATATATTCACAAATATACATTGAATTGATCTCTAATCAATTCCTATCATACTCAAACATCAAAATATATTATTTTTACCATATAACATATTTATAATTATTTATCACACTATATTCAAATTTTCGGGGTTTTACATTCTTCCCCCCTTAAAAGAATTTCGTCCTCGAAATTCGAAAATCGTACGCATCTCGCAATATGAACTTCTAGATGAACATATAGAAATATTTATACCTAACCATCTAAAATGGTAATATTCCCACTTGAACCCTACTCTAGTGGAAGTAGTACATCGGGTGAAAAATCCAAACAAGGAACCCCCCATATATATACCATGTGTTCCAAAAGATTAAGACTTAAGCAGAAATATTCACATTCTAGTGTTAAATGTAAATATAACCCAAGATGTAAACATAATATAAAACACATATAAACCTGTTCAAACAGGAGTGGGTAGGCGCGACGCATGTCCTCATCGCGCTCCCAAGAAACCTCCTCAACTCCTTTCTGGTTCCACTGAATTTTCACCCAAAGAAAAACAAAATATCCTGTTTCTAAATTTCTTGTCTTCTATAGCAAGTATATAAACTAGGATTTCAATCGTAGTCAAATCATCCTGAAGCTAAATCTCCGATGCGTTCAACACTCACTGCTGCTCTTCATCATGTAATTGTTTCTTGAACATTGAAGCATGAAATACTTTATG